ATAATCTTAATTTTAATTAATATAAATAATTATAATTTAATGATAATTAATTAATAAAATTTGATTTGATATTATTTTTTATTCGGATAAATATTTAATTTAATTTGTTATATTATTAAAAAAATATAAAAAATATCACTCAATTTTTTATGTTGATATTTTTTTTATTAGTGATGTGGGACCCATTTGAATAGATAGATCTGGTGCCATGTCAACCAAAGGTAAATTTCTTTATTAGTGATGTGGGACCCATTTGAATAGATTTGGCACATAGTAACATGACCATGTCATCACTTTTCTAAATTTTGCTCTCCACATCATCAAAAAAAATATAAAAAATGCCACATAAGTGAAGTTAATGGCCCAAATTAACAGAAAGACTAATGGAGTGCATTTCTTATAGTTGAGGGATCAAAAAAGTGTAAAAAATTGTTGAGGGATAAAAAATGTGCATTTCTTAAAGTTGAGGGACCAAATTTAGCATTTAACCTAAAGAAAAAAAACCTAAAATGGTGAAATGGAATGAGAAGAGATGTCGAAGGATTGATGGCCCAGGGACAAGAGAAAGACAGAGGGGAAGAGTGAAGAACAGGCCTAGGAATGAAAGAGAGAAAGAGGGGAAGGATGAAGAAGAACAGGAAAATAAGGAAGAAAAGGTTAATCGACTTTAATTAATTAATAATAATTAATCTTGATTTATTTATTACAATTAAAAGTGCCACATAGACAAAAAAAGGTGCCACCTCATCAATTTGTGTGTTTTTTTTCCACATCAGTATTTTTTTCAAAAAAAAATATAATTCTTTGGCAACTTAACGTGCCATGTGTCCCTTTAACGTGCCAGCTGTTAATTTAACTGACGGAAGGATAATTTTGGTATCAAAAATGAAAGTTTAAGGATAATTTTAGTATTTTTTTAAAGTTGAGGGATAATTTTGATAACAAAGTGAAAAGTTGAGGGACCAAAATGATACTTAAACCTAGAAAAATCAAAGATAATCCCACCTAAGAGCAATGTTAGGGGCACTCGCTTTTTGCACTCTCCGGTCAACACTTTCTCTTTTATTGGGCCACGTTATCTTGGTTCCCGAGAAGTTGCGCCTTAAAGCTTAAAAAAGCTTAGGTGACCCAATGAAAGGGGAAGTGCTGGCCGGAGAGTGCGAAAAGCGAGTGCCCCTAGCATTGCTCTCCCACCTAAATCTAATAGTGTATAGTTGGTTCGCGTTGGCCCTTCCCCGTGATGACATAAATCCTATGGGAGGGTGGAGTTGTGTGACTGTAATTTAATATTTAAGTTTTTTTTTTTTATCATTTATTACTATTAATTGAACTGAATTAGGTAAATCTCTGCCTCAAATAGTTATTAATATAACAGAAAGTTTTGGTCTGGTTCCATCGTTTCTCCGACATTAGAACATGTCTTGTGCTATCGCATGACCGAGCAAAATTTTTCCATGAAATCAAAGTGGATTTTTTTTTATCTTATCTTTTAAGAATATAAATTAAGAATATAATGAATATACTTTTTTATAATTAATTTACATAAAAAAATAAAATTAATTTAAATTTAATTAATTAATTAAAATTATCACAAAATAATAATGTTAAAATAAAAATTAATTTTTATCAATTTTTATATAAATTAATTTTTAAAAAATATATTTATTCTTAATATATAAATTAAACTAACCCAATCAAAATCCCTTTTTGTTTTTTTTTTTCTCATTCGATGGAACACTCAATTCTAAACATATATTATAAGGATTAATAGTTCAATACTTCAATCATTAAAAACGAAATAAAAATGGAAAAAGAAAAATCAAAAGAAAAAAAAAATGAAAGAAAGATCCCAACTTTACCCTTTTCTTTGATTTGATACCCAAGAAGGCAAGAAGGCAAGAAGAGAACCATGTTAATTTTCTGTCTTTCTTCCGAGTAAAGTTTTATGGATGGGATAAACTAAAGACCATATATACACTTGGAAAACTGAAGTCAAAGACCCCATCTCTATGTACTCAAAAAGAGAAAAACCAGTCCGTTTAATAGATTAAACAAGACATCAGTTTTGAAGAAGACCCAGTTTTTGATCTTTCTTTCTAGTGAAGAAAAATTTTTTGTTGAGACAAAAGATCAAACACGTAGAGAACTCACCAGGGTCACCATTCTTAGCACTGATGAGTTTCAGGGAGACTTTCCGCCCGATCAATTCATCAAGCCTGTCGATAATTGATGCATTGAAGTCGTTGAAGTCCAGAACATTCTTCTTCATCAAAACAGCAGTACCCATGACCTTCTTCCCCCCGCCAACCATACCGGCGGCAGCTGCCTTGAAGTTGCCCACAATATGACCCAGCATCCTTTTCTCGCTGCAGCAGATATATATAAACGAAAGAAGAGAAATATATGAAAGGGCATTAATGGAGAATGAAGGAATAGGGAATAAATATAGAGAAATTAAAGAGAAGACGGGCTCAATTATTATTGACTCTGGAATTGGGTGGACAAGGTGAAGTCGTACTGGTGAAGGTGTGGGTGAAAAGCTATGGCCAGCCCTTCACATGATTGACTATAAGAGTATCAGTCTCTCGACTTATAATATAAAACTTTTAACCCTTTATTTTTTTCAACTTAAATGGAAAATCCAAAATGAAAGATAACCGTATGTGATCATTAAAATTTGGTTTAAGTACCATTTGATCCCTCAACTTTTCATTTTGACACTAAAATTGTCTTTCATCTTTAAAAAGTATCAAATTTATCCTTAAACTTTCATTTTCGATACCAAAACGGTCCTTCTGTCAGTTAAATGACAGGTGGTATATTAATTTACCAACAAATCAATTATTATTATTTTTTAACTAATGACTTGGAAAAAAAAGTTTAATTGACCATCCTAGTTGGCATTTTTATTTAATTTAAAATTTTTGACATCCTTTTTTCCATCCACATCATCTCTTATTCCTCTTTCACTTTCTTTCTCCTTTGCCTTTCCTTTTCCCTTACCTCTGAAAACCCAGATCTGGGTTCTCTCTCAAACTTCATCTTCTTCCTCCTTTCCTCCTACCTTTCCTTGCTCATCCTTCTTCTTTCTTCTTCTTATTCTTTGTCTTTCTCTCTTCTCTCTTCTTCTTCCTCTCTCAAACCTAGATCTGGGTTTTTCTCTGCCCTTGAGAGTCCATCCTATCCCTTCATGAACCGAAAACGACGGTCTTCTCCTCTGTGCCAGGTACTTGTGCGGTGGAACCCGCCCGTCGTGATCCTCATCTCCATCGTCGGCGTTGTCTCCATCATTGTCGCTGTCTCTGTTTTTGTGATCCTTGTACTCCCTTTTCAAATTCAGTTCAGCATGTTCACCGGCACCAGCGATGCCACCACCTGGCTGCTCAAATCACTAGCTCTGGTATGTTTCTTGGATGAATGCTAAGTGGGTAATTGTTGTTTAAACAACAAAGTCGAATTTAAGCAAATATACTAAACAACAAAGCCATGGCTCTCTCTGAATCCTCTAAGCAATCCCTAATCCCCGCATTCCTTTACTCTTCTCCCAACTCCCTCTCTTTCGATTGCATCCTCAACACCAACCCTACTTTCGCTGCTCCAACCTCCGCCATCGCGGCTGCTCTTGATGGACGTGCTGCTGCTTCACCGTCAATCAATACAAGGAGCTTCGTCATCCCTTCACCTAACGAGTTTAGGAAAAAGATCGAGATGTACTCGCCTGCATTCTACACGGTCTGTACTTTTGGAGGAATCCTTAACTGCAGTCTGATTCACATGGCCATCATTCCTCTTGACCTTGTCAAGTGCAGTATGCAAGTATAGATCTAGTTTCATTCTATTGCTTATTTTGCATTTTCTATGTGTATTTTCTAAGTTGATTTGGAGGTTTTCGTGTTGATTATTTTCGAGATTAGATCTGCAGTTGGCTTGTATGTGATTTGGCTCAAATTGCTTCGTTTCTAGAAATTCTTTACTCTTTTTAATCTATGTTCCCTTCTATTGGTTGGGTTAGGAGATCTCGACTTTGTTGTTTGGTATATTCGAGATTAGTTTCCATGTTATGTGATGAAACACAAATTTGGATTTGAGAAAAACCTAGATCTTGGTTTGAGAAAGGAAGAAGCAGAGAAAAAGACAAAGAAGAAGAAGAAGAAAAAAGAAGGATGAGTAGGGAAAGGTAGGAGGAAAGGAGGAAGAAGAGGAAGTTTGAGAGAGAATCCAGATTTGGGTTTGCAGAGGTAAGGGAAAAGGAAAGGTAAAGGAGAGAGAAAGTGAAAGAGGATGAAGAGATGACGTGGATGGAAAAAAAGGATATCAAAAATTTTAAATTAAATAAAAATGCCAACTAGGATGGCCAATTAAACTTTTTTTTTCCATGTCATTAGTTAAACAAAAAATAATTGATTTGATGGCAAATTAACGTGTCACCTGTCATTTAACTGACGGAAGGATTGTTTTGTATCGAAAATGGAAGTTTAAGGATAAATTTGGTACATTTTAAAGGTAAGAGACAATTTTGGTACCAAAGTGAAAAATTGAGAGACCAAAATGGTACTTAAACCTAAATTAAACAACATTGAACTGTTTAGATATGAGCAAATCTCTAGAAGAAACAATATAAGCTCATATTTATTTTATTTTAGGTAAA